AGCTGCCACTCTACTTGTCCAGCAGAAAAACTTTGTTTTTCTTTCACCAAAAAAAAAAATGGAAGTGGAACTCCTCCATCAAAAGCCTCCATGCAACTTTCGTGCAAATGGCCAAGAGAGGTTGAGAGACCGTATGAGATTGCATGGGTACATAGGCCGCCCCCGAGCCTGACACCTGCCGGTAGCTTGGGGGGCCTGTCGGTCACATGGCAGAAACACCCCTGCTAAAAGGGCATATATTGCAAACTCTGAATGTATTGAAAAAAGTTCCGTCGATCCTCTCATACATGAAAATGACCAACACTTCGATGTCTCAGAATACCTCCACTTGAAAGATTACTTCTCTTCTCATGAGTGCACTTGCCTCTCTTCAAGTCTTCTCTTTTTCCGCCTGCAACTGCTCCAAGACGCTTCGACTATCTCCTCCCCACCTCTCATCTCCCCAGCTCACCACGGCTCCATCCCTCAGCCGCACCGCAAACGCTGCGCCCGCCGCCGCCACCTCCACCACGCCCGCCGCGCCCTGCAGCCACTCCGGCGCCTGGCCGCCGCCAGCGGCGGCGCCCCACGTGACGCAGCGGCCGTCGGCGCGGAGAGCGCAGAAGGCGGAGGAGGTGGCGAAGAGCTGGTGCACGTCGAAGAGTAGTGCTTGGACCTCACGGCTGTCGCCACCTGCGGGGGTTCCGTTTTCAAGTCCAGACAAGGGTCTACAGTAGGTATGATGACTGTTCATAATGGGTCTAGAGGTTTCTTGTCTTTACTAGCTGGATCCACATGTGTTTTTCCCCTTAGGTGCGTGTTGCAAGGAGCCAAACGTTGCAACTAGCTGGATCAACATGTCCAACGTTTTCCCACAAAAAAAGGAACATGACACTATCTTCAGCCATCACCAACATCAGTCACCAACCCAAAAGCAAAATCACCTTCTAATGCCCCATGGGCAAGCTGCTTCATCCTCCGGTGTTCATCCTCCAGTTGGTGTGACCCCTCCCCAGCCCGTGCCCTTTGACGCCTCGTTCGGGATCGCCCCAGGTGATCACCGTCCCGTCCTCGCGCAGCGCCCCGAAGGCAGAGCCCGTGGACGCGAGGCTTTGCACGCCCAGCAGCTCGGCCTCCACCTGACCGGCGGACCGGTGGGAAGGCGTGTTGGACCCTGTCGCTAGACCTTAGAGATGTATGCCAATGGTATAATTCACATACAAGGCATACCAAGGCATACCAACATAGGAAAAATTGTGTGTGTGTCCGCATATCCGTGTGTGTTGGTCGATCTCAGAGCTCAGAGCAAGCGGCTTTGGGTCCTTGATCCTTCGGAGTCCTAGACACACACGGAGTCCTCATCCTCTGTGCACGGAGTCCAGGCGGGTTTGCTAGGTAGAGCATTGTACACGGAATAGTGCGAATTGGATCTCCTGTCAACAAAAAGAGCATGCGTACATGATTCTGTACATGCTGGGTCCCGACACTAGAATCTCCGACTCATTCGGACAGATTCATTCTCTCAACACTAGAGTCTCTACAGCTATCACCCTCCACTTTCGACCCAAAAACCGTCGACTCTCTCTCTCTCTCTCTTGCTCCGCGACGACCTCGGCCGCGCCTTGGAGCTGTCGCCGCCCCACTGAGGATCTCCCCAGGAGACCACGTTGCCCTCCTCCAGCAGCGCAGCGTAGGCGCGGCCGCTGGCCACGATGCTCCCTTTGCGCAGTAAACGATGCGATGCGTGCAATCCATGATGGCCACGATCCATGTGTGCGGTGCCCTTATGGTTGAGCAAGCCGCTGCGTTATATTTTGGGATGGTGCGTTATGTTTTTTGCGGCTGAGAAGCATATTGAAAGAGAGGTTGAGATGAGGGTCTTCTTTGTGCCGCTTCCCTAAATTGAAACGGGTCCATGTTGGCACCGAAGATGGCCAACGGTCCAACACTCTCGAGGCGCCTGTGTGGCGCCTTGGTGTGGTGCCGGGCTACACGGTTCATGTGTGGACTCATCCAGAAGACCCCTTGGTGGTCGATATTCGCTCCCACTGTCAATCAGCCCTCAAATACACAAGGAACCAAAACACATGCACGCCAAAGACCCCCACCACACCGCCATCCGGCCAAAGCTGCTCACTCCTCTTAGGCGTTCGGCCACCATGCTGCAATCGCCGCCCATGTTGCAAGGGCCAAAGCTGGTCGCTGTCCCATCCGCCAGCACCGCCGCGAAGCCACGGCCCGGCACCAGTCGCACCACACCAGAGAGCTCTGGAGCAGAGCCCCCCCCAGTCCTGAGAATGGCGTGCAGCCAGGAGACAGAGGTGCAGCCAGGACAAGCAGGAAGCAGGACAGGTCAGGTCTGGAAAGTTGTACCGAGACATGTGGAATGGCTCGACCTGTTTGCAGTCCCATTGTTGGAGCGACAAACAAATCTCCAAACCGCAGACATGCACCAGCGTGGGGAAGAAAGATAGACCGAACATCCAAATCTTTTGCTGAGAAAAACGTGTAAAAGACGTTTCAAAGAATGATAGTTGGGTATGTTCGACCTATATCAACCATGATACTTGCCACACAGACTGAAAAACTCTCAGGTACATCCGGCCAGCATGTCCTGCCTCACAGTGAACAAATCGGCCTTGAATCCCTCCAATCATTTCAACTGTCAAAGAACAAAACAAGAACCAAGAAGTTTCACCCAGCTGGAAAGCTAAAAAGCTCCACATGGATCAGCTCCACTGCACCCGGTGCGGTAAGTGGAGATCCACATCAGCCTGCCATTGGCTCTCGCCGTTGGGCGCCCAACCGCTCGTTCTGCCCAAAGCACGGGATCTCCCCAGGCCACCAGAGAGCCATCCAGCAAAATGGCACCAAAGGCACGGCTCGACGCAACCACCTCCTGGATGTTGTGCCTCACACGGGCGCGGGTTGCAGCGATGTGGCGCGCTGCTTGGGACTGCGAGCGAGCTTGGAACTGAGTGTTTTTTTTGCGTTTGGAACACAAAACATTGCGCATCGAAATAGGTCGGAATTATTGGTGTGTCCACCTGACGGCATTGGAAATCACTATGACAACCAACCCTGAAATCACATAGCCGGACCAAAAGAACCTCGCTGAGGTTAGCTTCATGTGGGATGTGCACGTGTTGCTGAGAATGAGGAGATGCCCACTTTGTTCAGAAGGGTGTACGTGAACCTCCCAACCCCCTCACACACTCACAAAATATATACTGTAACATTGAGATCATTGGTGTGTCTGTCAGACATGTGGAGAATCAACCTCACTTTGACCAACAACTAGTCGTCCTCCCGAATTTCTTGCATTCACCAGCTGCTTTGAACACACAAGCTGACTTTCTGGAAAAATCTCATCAGCAACTCCCACTCCCTTCACCCCTCCCTGTCCGTAGTCCAAAGATCTCCAACCCACCCAACAACGCCCCCCACCGGCCTCAGCCGCTCCCGCACGCCCTCCGCCAGCCGCCCGCCGGCCCCACCATCGCCCCAGGTCACCGGCGTCCGGTCGCCGCGCACGGCGCAGAAGGCGGCGTCGTTGGCGCGGAGGTATTGGACGTCCTGCAGCTCCAGGCGCACGTGGTCGCTCCTGCGGGCGAAGCGCGGAGGGCGGAGCGGGCGAAGCGGGTGTGGCGGGCTAAAGCGGGCCAAGCTCGCTCGTCCCGGAGGGTGGGTGGGGAAGAAACCATTCCGGGAAGGCCTGAAGAAGAGCATGGACGGTTTGGAGGAAGTTCAAAGAATTTGTCATCGCCACTTGTGTGTTGAACGCAGGTGTAGGAGTTTCAGCGATTCTTCGGCCACTTGTGTGTTGAACTTGATCGTAGGTAGCACTGTGAGACGGTATCAACTTGAGTCTAAAGCTTGGAAAGTTGCTTTGGACTTTAGACCCCTTCAAGTGCCCCATCTGCCATCGTCAAGCCTCTTCGCAAGACATGCCACCATGTCCCTCTCTCCTGCCACCATGCCCACTGCTGCCCCAGGTGACAATGCTGCCATCGGCTCTCAGCGCTGCAAAGGCAGCGCCCGAGGCCACCACACAGCTGACCTCCACGAGCTCATCCTGCACCGCGCTGCAATCGCCGCCCCAGTCCTGGGAGGGAGCTCGAGGCTCGGAGGGAGGCGAGGGTGGCAGGGGAAGAGGGAGGAAAACCGTTGAAGGTGGGTCTCTGGGTCTAAACTCAAGCCACTACTTTTCCCTAAAGCATACGTACTTGTTTCAAGAGATGATCAGAAGCGGTGAGTACTTCAGCTGGCTCGTCTCCAAATCTACCGGGTCACGCAACAGTTGGTTCTGAACTCCCATGCAAAATAGTGCTGTGGGTGTCTCTCAAACAAGCCAACAAAGCACCAAACCTGTTCACGAGCATCCCTACCCATCTTTCCCCACTCCCAATCCTCCTTGCCCATCCATCCCTCCCCCCTTGACTCTACTCCTTCCCTCCCATTTAGAGCATTTTAGAGCTACATGTCATAGACGCATCTTTTTGTAACATCTGCTCTCTTCCAAGAACCCAGCCCCCATCCGATCCCATCCAGTCCCCGATCAGGCTCTGCATCTCCAAAGCAGGCCACCCGCCCATCCGCCAGCAGCGCCGCTAGCGCCCGCGCGCCCAGCACCACCGAGGCCACCGACCTCAGCGGCCTCCGTCGGCATTCGTCGGCGGCGGCGCCGCCCCAGGCGACCAAGGTGCCATCGCCTTGGTGAACGGTGGAGCTGGGAGGTTGAGTCGGTTTCATGTTTCGGTGGTGGAGCCTCACAATCTCACCGAGTCCAGCAGCCGTTGGAAAGGAGTGGTTGAAAAGCACCCCTTATATAAGGCTTGACATGAGGCTCTCTCTTGTTTACAGCTTTTTTACAGCTCCTGCATCACAAAACATGCAAAATCGTACATGGCCACCTCTTCTTCCAAAGAAAATGACATTCATGAAAATGATGTTCATGTCTTCTCTTCCAACCAAAACGATCAATCCCAAAACTGCTCCAACCCTCCCCCTTCTTCCCTCCATCTTACCGGGCCAAGTCACTCTTCACCAAAGCGAAGAGCCCCGCCGAGCGGTGCGAGTAGAGCCGCGCGCCCCGCGCCGTGGCGGTGACCCAGTCGCCGTCTTCCAGGCCCACCTGACGAAGCCACGACGCGGCACCTGCTCCCTCAAGACGGAGGGGGTGGACAGGGAGGGACATCATATTCTCACCACCGTAGGTGGAAAATGTTGGATGCCGAAATCCGAAAAACAGCAAACATGATTCTCATGGAACCACCTCAGTGGTTTTCAGGGTCCATCTGAATCCGCAGGAGAGTGAGGTCAATGGTGTGTCAAAAGTTCAATAAAGCTCAATCCCCCGGGTGCGTCCCAATCCTCCTCTCTCCCCATCCAGCCTCTGAAATGCTGGTGCCCTCACCCACCAGCAGCTGTCCCTTGGCCGTCAGCTGATCCACCCGAACTTCCAAGACTCGCCCAGCCGCACGCTTCACGTCGCTCAGGCGCCAGTAGGGAAAGACCTGCGTGGCGAGAAGACTCGTGCGGCGAGTCTTCGCCCATGTGCGCGCGAGGTGTGTGGGTAGGCATGGTGAGGAGGCGTGGTGTGGCTATATGTGGCTATAGGCTATAAGGGACCTTCCCAGTGACCTATATTGAGATCCCCCAGAATGAAGTCACTTCGGTCTTGTAAAGGTCACTGACCCATCCTGAAAAAGGTCACTACTGCCCAAGACGTCTGTCGCTCAGTTGGATCAAGACCACACCAACCAGCCTCCCAAATCCAAGAGATTCGCACACCTCACAGCTCTCACCTCGTTCGTGCGGAAAAAAAAAAAAAGGGCACGTCAGCGGGTTCCCCGGAGCCCGGACACGCAGGCTCGTAGAGGTGCCAGAGAGCAGGGAGACGTGCAACGTCATGGACATGGCGCCCAAGTGGTTTCTGTTCCTTCAAAAGAGGGATTTTCCAGAAAGCTTCTGTTGGAATCGGATTTTTTCTTCGCGGACCCTAAAGCAAAACAAGGGCGAAAGAGATGCTCTAGCTGTTGCTGGTAGCTTGTTGGATCTTCCCTTTTTCTTCAGCAGCTTGCAAGCGCTCTAGTTGGTTGAAGCTGTTCAACTTACTGTCTTCTTATTATATATACGACCGATGGTCAGTGAGTAGGGTTCAGCTTGGCTGGTGGGAACATTTGTCACTTAGTCAGTTCTATGTTTCACTGTTTCACTTGGTGCATGAGTCGGCGCACATGAGCGAGCGCCTTGAGCCTCAAGAAAGGCCCTTGCCTTGGCTGCTTGTGGCTGGTGTCGGCGGCACATCCACCGAGTTCGGCATCTGGGGCAACTTGGTTCAATGAAGCTGATGCACGGCGTAGGTGTTCCAACAGGAAAAGCCAACTGGAAATCTCCAGGTTGTGACTCAGCCCCTGTGTCAACGGCCCAATCAGCTGCATGCCCTGCATGCAGTCCAATGCCCCAGTCCAACCGCAGCATGCCCCGCGCCTGCGGCCACCCGTATCGGTGTCTGCATCACCTGGGCGACCGCTGTCTGTGCTCACCAATCCATGCGGCTTCGACTTCGACCGACCTTTCGACCTGCTCAGCCCGCGGCGCGGACCTCGGGCGAGGCCACGCGGCGCCTGGACGCATCGGGTGGGGGGGCCATCAACGGATGGACGGATCGGGATCGGGATCCGATCCGCCTTTCTGGCCCAAGGTACTTGGGGATTCTGCCAAGTGTTTAGCAAGAAATGAGCGATGACCCACATTCGCCGAATGCAGTGAACACTGAACATCCAATCCAAAATGAACAGAACGTCTCATTAGGTGGATTCGCATCGCCTGGTTGTCAAATCTTGCCCCACATTCACCTGGAAATTGGTGTCAGCTTCGTCCTGCCTTTCCAGTTGATTCTCATGTAGCTGCCGCTGCAGGCTATGCGACTGTCCTGGCTGCTGTGCAGTGAGCCGGGAAACTTCACATCCATCCACTAGTCACTATAGCTCCCAACCCATCCTGGAATCACCTAATGACAAACTGTTTAATCTATTTCACCCACTCTTCTTCTGTGAGGATACTTCAAAACCCCCCTGAGTTCTTCTTGGTCACATCATTCAGATCCCAAAAAACCAACCGTACCGTAGACACACGGCGCTGGTCGACGCGGCGCAGCCATCTTGGCGCACCCTCCGCGCGGAAAGCGGAAGGTCCCCAAGCCCTGTGCCTCGGGTGCCGCGGTGCCTGGATGCGGGCGTACTTCCCACCAGGGCCATGGCGGCCTGAGGGGGTCGCCGGTGGGTAAACGCCGTCGATTGGCACGTGTCCAATCACCACATCGGTTGGGGGGTCCAAGGCCCATCATACTCCACAGGGGGTTGCTTCTATGCGATCTGAACTCATCAAGACACCAATCAACAACACAAACTCGTAAGCCATCCAAGCAACAAACATCCATGACTTCCAGGGTCATGCATAAAGCTCCCAATTGTTTGATCATCCAAACACATCTATAAATCCATACAGGTCACTGACATCACTGACATCTCTGCCGCATATCACATCTCAACCTTCATCTCTCATGGAGGCCACGCACCCCCAACCTCGCCCCCAGACCGCCTTCGCCTCGGCACCCTCGGCGGCCTCGGCGGTGAGGCCTGAGGTGAAACGCAGGGTCGAGTGAACTCTCCGTGCAGAGAGAGGAAGTGTAGGGGGAAAGAGAATCCGAGAAATGGTGGATGAGTGTGATCAACATGTTGCCTCCAGATCAACACCACGGCTGTAAGTCGACGGTGTTGGTGTGTGAAAGTGTGTTTCTGTTTGATGGCAGCAGGAAAAAACACCCTGGCACACGAGGAGGGGTACAAACCCAATCAACGCTGGACAGAAGAACACTTCCTCGGACCCAATTCTCTTGGCAACATGGCCAAGCAGCATGATGCCTTGAGGGAATTGGCCCATCGATGCCCTTAAGGCCCAAATGATAGCATTCGGTCCCCTCTTGTGGCCTGACCACTAGCAATGATGGCGCTTACTTAGAGCAATAGGAAATAGGATGTCTTCTACCAAAAAAGAGCTTGTAAGCAAGCTTTGCCACCGGCCTATGTTGGAGGACAGAACATACCGCCAGTTTGGACACCGTCCAACTCACTGGGACATTTGGGTCATGGCACCAAGAAATTTCGGTAACGCCACTTGCACAAGACCTCAACGCGAGGATGCCCATTCTTCCCTTGATACGCAGTGGTATCGGGTATGAAGGGGGGTGACCAGGATACCTTGGGCACGACCTAAGACCTAGCTGGGAGGTCGTTCGCTACGTAGTTGGACCTACTAGGTGATCCATCTCCGGTGCTGGCCACCTCTCGCAGGAGCGGCACCTGCTGCCAACAGCGCGTCGAGGCAGCTCTTCAACGCCTCCATGGTACGGAACAAGGTCATTGGGCTGCGGGTCACGGCACTGGAACTCACCCGGAACTCACCCGCAGCCATCGGTTGACCGACGACATCCGTCCGGGCGTCTTATGCGAGTGCCATGGCAGAACGCCATGGGCACTGGAGGGCCAATTGGGTGTTGCCACCGGTGAAGGCGCAACTCATGCAGGCTTTGTAGCACTCTGACTGCTGCTTTTCCATATGCGGTGGTTCGGGCAACGGGGGAAGACAGATTCAACAAGTGCAAATGGGTTGGTTCGGGCTCGCTGGAATCGAAACACAATCAGCGTCTCGCACGGGAAGATGAACAACGAATCCATTGGATGAGGTTGAGGGTCCAAGCATTTGGCACACGCTTCGGTATAGAAATGTATGGGAATTCATTTGAATGTCTTTTTGACCATCGATGTTGCAAATACTTAAGCAAACTCCCCCTCGGAACTCATCTTTGAGTCTTGAAAGCACTGATAGAACACATGAACCGAGCAAATGGATACATGATTGACCATAAACATGTTCTTCGGTCTTGATACTTAATCTTCAACCATCTTAACCAAAACGACCCAACCAAGATAGATCTATGTAGAACACTGGAACCTGTATCAACTGTGGAAGTCTGTGTGTGTATGGTTCGTGATCTGCCTCGTCTGTCAACGGGGGCAAAGGCTCACACCCCCTGGGTAGCAACGTTCAACACGCTGCGTTCTCCGCCGGCTGGATGCCACCCTCACTACACTGTTCACTGTTAGAAGATGGGAACGAAACCCACTTGGAACAAAGGCCAACCATGCGTCTGAACCAAAAACAAGTTAAACAAAGAGAACAGAATCAATCACGACGCTAAGTATAGAAGCAGCGCAGATGTTTGTCTTAACCTCCGAAGCGGCCCATGGTGTACTGAACGGTCTTCGTTTCGGACCTCGGGCCACTTCGTCGCCCCGCCTGGCGCCGTGCTTCCAGCGTCTTCACCCTCGTGAGACGCGACACCGGACAACTGAAGCCATGAACCAGCGCAAAAAAATCAACGCCGCGGGGGAAAAAAAGAACGAAAGAAAAGGCGGGACACGGCATTGCGACTCGCAGGACCCGCGAAAATCACGCACTGCCCGAGGGAGGAGTGCCGATAAGCTGCACTTGGCAGGAAAGGCCGTCCCAATTGCCGTCGTGGAATCTGTCTCTTAATGCTCTTAGTGCAGATGCTGGTCAAGCTGCAAACTCCCCACGCGTGAGACTGGCGCACCTTTGGTCAATCCCTGAAACGACAAGACACGCAAACGCTACAGATCCTTGGATGAACAGGTGCCAAGGAACCACAACAGTTACATTCCCACAATTTCACACATCACGGTTCTCTCCCTGCTCTTCGTGCTGGCAGCAACCTGAGGTCCAAGAACATAGGAGTCAAGCATGCGTGGGTGAGCGTAGCTGAAACTCAAAAAAATTGGTACAACCCCTGCGCCCTCCTACACACTGAAGTTCATTCATGCCAGTGATTGGGCATCGGACGCCAGCTTGAGCGCCATCCATTTTCGGGGGGAACCCTTTTTTTTAACCCCCCAACCTCTTTTTTTTAACCTCCACCCTTTTTTTCAACCCCCCGACCCTGTTTTTTAACCCCCAACCTCTTTTTTCTAGCCCCAACATCTCTTTTTTAACCCCCCAACCTCTCTTTTTTAACCCCCCAACCTTGCTTTTCTAAACCCCCGACATCCCCCGACCTTTTTTTTTTAACCTCCAACCTCTGTTGGACACCCAGCCCTTACTTTTTGAGAGCTGGAGGGGGGGTTGTCGTTTTCGTTCTCGTTGTCGTTGTGGTTGTTGTGGTCGTCGTTGTCGTTGTCGTTGTCGTTGTCGTTGTGGTTGTGGTTGTGGTTGTGGTTGTGGTTGTTGTTGTTGTTGTTGTTGTTGTTGTTGTTGTTGTTGTTGGGGGGGCTCGGGGGGGGGCGCAGCGCGCTGCTGGTGTTGTTGTTGTTGTTGTCGTTGGATTTGTTGTTGCTGTTGATGTTGTTGATGTTTTTGTTGCTGTTCAACACGTGTGCAGGCGTCAGGGGGACTGTTTGAAAACAAAGAAAGCCGGAGGAGGGCTCGGGGGGAGGGCGCAGCGCCCCCCCCGAAGTCAAGCAAAGGTACTTGCTTCGCTTGTTGTTTTTGGATTTGTTGTTGCTGCTGCTGCTGTTGTTGTTGTTGGGTTTGTTGTGAGGTGTCGTCCAGCACAAGATGACAAATCTAGGTGAGACAAGGCAAGTCACTCCGCTTGACGAAGACGTGCGGACTGTTTGAAAACAAAGAAAGCTGGAGGGGGGCTCGGGGGGAGGGCGCAGCGCCTCCCCCCAAAGTCAAGCAAAGGTACTTGCTTCGCTTGTTGTTGTTGTTGCTGTTGTTGTTGTTGGATTTGTTGTTGCTGCTGCTGCTGCTGGTGTTGTTGTTGTTGTTGGATTTGTTGTTGGATTTCTTGTTGTTCTTGCTGTTGTTGTTGTTGTTGCTGTTCAACACGCGCGCAGGCGTCAGGGGGACTGTTTGAAAACAAATAAAGCTGGAGGGGGGCTCGGGGGGGAGCGCCTCCCCCCGAAGTCAAGCAAAGGTACTTGCTTCACTTGTCGTTGTTGGATTTATTGTTGCTGCTGTTGTTGTTGTGGTGGTTGAGCAAGTACCTTTGCTTTGAATTCGGGGGGAGGCGCTGCTGTCTCTTTTTCACACACTCCGCTTGACGATTGCGCACGTGTTCCACAACTTGGGGGGAGGGCGCAGCGTTTTTTTCAAGTCAAACTCGAGTGGAAGTGACGAAAGGAGGCGCTTGACAGCTGCAGTTTCGGAGGGGTAGGTATCTACAGGCGCGCGCCTCCCCATGCACATAGTACAGAAAAGGTTAGTGGATGGAGGTGTCGTCCAGCACAAGATGACAAATCTAGGTGAGACAAGGCAAGTCACTCCGCTTGACGAACACGTGCGGACTGTTTGAAAACAAAGAAAGCTGGAGGGGGGCTCGGGGGGAGGGCGCAGCGCCTCCCCCCAAAGTCAAGCAAAGGTACTTGCTTCGCTTGTTGTTGTTGTTGTTGCTGTTGTTGTTGTTGGATTTGTTGTTGCTGCTGCTGCTGCTGGTGTTGTTGTTGTTGGATTTGTTGTTGGATTTCTTAAGCTTTTCCACCTGCTGCTGATGGTTGCGCCTGCCGCTGCAATGCGCTGGGCGGCCTTCGGCCGCTGGGGCAGCTGATGAGATGATGCTGATAGATGGCAGACGGCCAAGTGAGAGCGGACTTGTTTTTTTTGTTCGGCCCTCCTTAGTTTTGATGAAGGGTGAATGTCACTCACTTCACCGTTTGACCTTTTTGATGCTTGGCCTCAACACTGTTGATTTTGACCGCGCTTTCCTCCACCTTAGACCTTTTGGATGTTGAGGGTGCTCCCAGCCGCTTGGAACGGCTGATTACCTCCATCCATGCCCATGCCTCAATACAGAAACGATCTCCAACAGGAGTCCGGCCTATGGCCGCAGGGCGGCGCTACTCATCCGAGTGCGTGTGAAAGAAAGAAAAGTTGGATTTCTTGTTGTTCTTGCTGTTGTTGTTGTTGTTGCTGTTCAACACGCGCGCAGGCGTCGCCCCCATGCATACAGAAAAGGTTAGTGGACGGAGGTGTCGTCCAGCACAAGATGACAAATCTGGGTGAGACAAGGCAAGTCTTCCAGTTTCGGAGGGGTAGGTGTCTACAGGCGCGCTGCCGCTATGGAGCCGAGCCGCGCAACAGCGTGACACCCCCGCGTCATCACGGCAAGTGGGCTGGCGCAGCGTGCTGGGTGGGCGCTGTGTAAGTGGTCCGAGGGGCATAGGCACTCGCAGGCAAGGGTCAAGGGTTAAAAAAGCAAGGTCAGGGGTTAAAAAAGAAAGGTTGGGGGTTAGAAAAAAGTGCTCGGGGGTGAGAAAAAAAGGGTCCGGGGGTTAAAAAAAGAGGTCGGGGGGGTTAAAAAGAAAAGGTCTGAAGGGTTAAAAACAATTGTTTTGAAGGGGTTTAAAAAAAAGGGTTGGGGGGTTAAAAAAAGTGGTGGGTTAAAAAAAAGAGGTTGGGGTGTTAAAAAAAGGGGAGCCCCATTTTCGGGGCTAGTCCATTCGGCAGGTGAGTTGTTGGTTGTTACACACGCCTTAGCGGATTTCGACTTCCATGACCACCGTCCTGATAAAATGAACTCACACCCTTCGTGCTACTGGACGATTTTTTCTTGGAAAAGCTCGCGTTTCGCCACCGGCACTGAAAAAACGAACGCCGTGGTTTGCATTCTAGGGGGGATCTCTCAGCTTCAACGTGTCCTCTGCACTGGATCATGCATTCGACAAGGTACAATGAGTTTGGAGACGTGGGTTGAGGTATTCCCCAAAGCCGGTCTTTGCAGCATTCGGGGTGGAATCAATTGGGAGTTCTTCGCGCTGCCTTTCGCAGCGCAGAAGACCAAAGCCACACCTAGTCATTCAGATACCACCTGGATTCGTGGCTTGTGGGGCATACAAAGCCTCAGAACGTGTAGGGACACACACTCGAGATAATGCGTACGGAAATGACTTCCCACGAAGGGGCATACATCTAACTATAGCCTTCAATGTTCGGCGGGGCATGCGCCTTCTTTCCAAATAGCCAGTTATCATTCACTTGTCGGCTCTAGGTTTCTTTTCTTTTGTGCCGACATGGATGGATCCAGCGATCCTCTTTCTTTCTATATGCCCTGGCCATCTTCTGGGGGTCTCCCTACAAACATGCCTGCACTCACGCCTGGTTTCCAGAAAGACCCAGGGATTTTCAAGGGGGTTCCAGAATGTTTTGCAAATGTTCATCTTCTGCTTCCGAATGGAAAAAATACCAACAACCGGGTTTCTTCCGCCGAAGTCGCCCCCTTCTTCCGGAGTCGCCAACGGCGGTCGGTCGCTGGTGACGACCGGTTTCCGGGTCCCATGGGTGATGAAGCCGGTCCAACGGGTCTAAAGGAAGCCGAACGCCTTCAGCTGCTTTGCACCTTCTTGCACCCTCATGGCTCGAAAAGGAACGAATAGTCACAGTCCCCCAAGAGCGGCGCGTCTGTATGAAGGCTCTGGTTACGGATGATAGAGCATCATAGAGGCACCCAGTCATGAAGCTTCCATCGCAGCCACCAATCCTTCACCTCCTCCCATCATCCGATGGCCTCTTGGCCTCCTCAAAGACCTTGGAAGACAAGACAGTTGGTGGTCGAATGACTCGGGGCGACCGACTAGGTGGACTGCTTCATCCAAGTGAACCTTCATGTCTTAGTCCTCACCTAATTACATCATCTTCATCATCTTGGTCTTCCATCACGTTAAACCACACCACATCCATGCAAAACATGGAATGTGAACTGTTGATGAATGGAGGTACCAAACACCCTTCTGCTCGGGGGGTCCATCTGTCCATCTAAGCTCCGGGACCCGGACCCGTCGGCGCTCGGCACTCTGCCGTTGCTGGCGTTGCTGCAGCTGCTTCGCTCTCAAGCGTTGGGCCTGGATCCAGGCAGCTGCCCAACTCGTTCGAGTCCACACCTTTGAGGATCCATCATCCCCTTTGAGGATCCAGAATCTGAGATGATTTTTTGGAACTCAATCGAACGTTTTGGGGGTCACCCCAAATTCTCAGCTGCCTGACGAAAGAACGTCTGGGCGTTTGTGGATAGTTGAGGCTCACTGACGAGTGCACTGTCCAGCACTCCGCAGGGATCCCTCTCTCCTCCCCCTCTCTTCATCTCCCCGAAATGGGTGCCTCGCGGCGGCAGGTGTCCAGCTGCGCCTCGAGCTGAGTGCACTCGGCCAGCAAGACGCCGTCCTGTCGTTCGGACCGGCAGGAGGATGTCAAGGATGTCAATGTGTGCAATCGGAACCTGAAACAGCTCTCTCCTCCTCGAATCCTGAAACTTCTGGTCGTAACCATGTCTTACCCTCTTTTTACATTCAAATCTTCAAATGCCACGCTGCGAGAACCCAACACGTCGGACACCCGATTTCGGCCCATGCCTGCAATCCGATTTCCCCACAACTGCCGACGCACCCCGGAGGGGATCCGACCCGCCACCCGCGCGGACCGCCTCGGTGAGTTCCTTCTGGAGGCCTCGCGCCGAGTCAGGGACCGGTTCTCGCGCAGCGGTTCACGCGATGGAAATGGAGCGAGGCGGGCGAGGGAGAGAGGAATCCCGAAACTCGAGGAGGTCTTTCACTTTCTTTATTCTTTCTTTTTTCGAGTTCAGCTTTGGAGAGAGAGAGAGAGGGGGAGAGACACGCAAAATCTCCCACCTTGCAATCCTGCCCATGGAAACACAAATCACCTACAACTGAACCCCTACAGCGCCCAATTCCCCAACACTGAGATGTACACACTCTCACTGCCTCTCTTTCCCGCCTACGACCATCTCGTCCACTCGGCAGCTCAGGGTATCTCCCATGGACTGCAGGTCCTGTGACCGCAAAGACCGCTTCTTCGACCCCAAAGGCAGCTCGGTGGATCCAGCAGCCCGCGGGCGCAAAGCGGGCGCACAGGCTGAGGCTTGGAAGCTAGGCCAGGCTAGGGCGAAAAAGGTGCTGGATGTGAACTGAAACCCCTTGTCTACTTCTATAGCTGGTCAATGCGATGGTCCAAAGATGGCCTACTTCAGGCTTCTTTGTAGAAGCTTGGTCTCACACACCTGCGCATTCTCTCACGCCATGCGCCAAAATTCCATCAAACCAATAACACCCACGCAAAGAGAGCCAAACCCCCAGCTGCATGGTTTCATGATGGACATGGAAACCGCCGCAGAACCCAAGAACTACAGAGCCTAAAGGTCCAGGCCTTTTGTTCCCCAGTTCACATGAAAAACCAAGAGCTGCGAAAGGGCTGCGCCTCTCCCTGCCCCTTCGGCCCTCCCTCCTTGCGATCGCGCAAGGCCATGCAAAAGAGCCGGGCCTGGAACCGGGCCAGTTCGTGACGTTCGGAAAACCGTGGCCGTGCTCGAACCCCTTTATAAAGAAGTAGGTCCCCTCCAACTGGGTTTCGGTTGGCACTCCTAAAATGATGTGCCAGAAACTGGAATAACACTTGGATGCCCCACAAACTAAGGGACAACTGAAGCGAGCGAGAGTAGTCGGGCAGCTCCTTGACCGAATAGCAGGTAGGTTGACATCTTTCCAAGCACCAACCAGGAGTAGAACTTAGTAGCATGTTCAAGTTACTTGTTCCAGTTGTTCTGCAGTTTCCAACCTGAGAAGAACAAAAAATGTGACCTCAATTTCAATTTCTTGTAGGAGAATACACATGAATCGGGGTCCATTTGCTGGAGAGTGTGGTTGCACGCGTCCCCTGCACAGGAAATGTCTCAACAAGGCAAACTCTGAATACCCCATGCACCACATAGCTGCTCGGATGCCATTTATCACAAATAATGGGAAAGCAAACAAATGCAAACAAGCGCTCTTGACGCTAACGTAGGTTGAATGACCACTCCAGCTGCGAGAAGTTTCATTCAAAGGGTGTGAAAACCCGAAAGGAACGTCTTTCGAAACATCACTCCAACGTCAACATCTGAAATGTTCAAAACAGAAACAAAAGAACAACTTACATGCACAGCACGCAAAACCCTCATGAATGGGCTGATCCCTCCAACCGCAGTGTCGACCCACCCCATTGGCCACACAGAAGCCGGAACGAGCACAAGCACAGCGTCGCGTCGTTCTCTCCACCAGCTCTGGGGGTCTGGGCAGTAGAACTCCCCAAGCTCTGAATCGAATTCTTCAAGGCTGGCAACCCCTGACATCGCTCCGATGAAACGACCTGCTCCGCGCTCCGATGTGGGGCGATGACAAGCCGTCGGCCCGTGGTTCTGGACAAAGGCTTGGCCATGGGGACCATGGGAAGCGAGCATGATTTTGGTCAGGATTCAAGGGTGTGGAAATCCTGTTTGGCAGCTGCTGATTTTCGGTGGCTTTCAGAACTGGAGAAAAGCTCGAACTTAATAGCACCCCCTAGTCTGTTCTACACAAAAGGTCACTTCTTGGGGGCGTGTTTCCAAAATTCTGAAACCATCCACAACGTATCAGTCTAGACCCCCATCTTCAGACCCACCAGTCATCCATCCTCAACTCCCCAGAACCATCATGCTTCCCCTCCATGTCCAAAGCAGCAAAACCTCTGCTTTTGAAATCGCACCGGGCTGCTGTGGACGACTTGTACGTACCTCTTCCACCAACCACCGACACTTCCGCCTGAGCCGAGGAGCCAAGACCCACCAAGGCCGCACGGACCAATCACCCTTACCCGCCGGACCGGCGGCACCTCTCCAAGACACTCATCCAGGCTGTCGCTCTCACCATAAAGGCCTCCATGCTACGCCGGACGCCCGCGGGCAAGCCCGCCATGCGCGGTGGACGTGGACGTGGCACACGGGACAGGCTGGGCGCTGAAGGTGAGAATCCACAAAGGAATTCAACGAATCCGCGAATGAAA